CACATGTGCTGATCAGTGCATCAGATGGTCAGGAAAAGGGGGTTATAGGGAGCATATATAAACTCCTGCCTCAGACTACGTCGCACAGTTCACCACGTGTGTTTTACATCGTGTACTTGTGTGTGTTACACCTTGTATTTGTGTGTCAGAATGTCGAAGGGCAAGGGAAAACAGCCGGCACGGCTCTCTTGCCAACTTCATAAAACAGATCATAACAGGAATAGAATGTGCCTGACATTATCTCTTGTTACATCATATGCCTTCGTAATAAAATGGAATCAGAAGTTATTGGCATTTATTTTCAGTCCAAATTTCAACAGAAGTAACGATATTCAGTGGTTTTATTGCTCAGTAGCAAGGAGCTGCCACGGCACACTTCCTGCGTCACTGCTGAAGTACTTCCTGCGTCACTGTTGAAGTACTTTCGAAAGTAGGCCCTCGGTTACTTTTGCGACGCACCAGTTCTGCCTGCCTCTCTTCTTCAGCTACCAATGCCAGAAGACCTACATGTAGGTTGTCACCAATCTCAATCTCAGACGGGCTTGTAAGTTGTTTGCAGGTTGCACTGAACGCTGCATCGCCAACTTCAGTCTACTCTTTACTTGACGTGTACTCTTTACTTGAAGTGAACGGTAGCAGGCAGTGCAGCGCTTATATATGTACCTGCTCAAAAACACGAGAGGAGCCCGTCGGGATCCCGCCAGGAACCCGCCAGGGACCTGACAGCTGCCCGGCCGAACTGTAAGAGCCGGTCGGCACCCTACCACACGCCGCACGGGTCAAGACGGGCGACTGACCGGGCACCGGACGGGTCCCTGACAGAAACCGGCCGCAAAAGTTTATGAATATTAATGAGAGCCGCCGGCCGGAGCACAAGCAGGCCCCGACAGGGAGCCGTAAAGGAACATTTAATTGTGACCCTGACAGTACGGCGCATGCTCGGCGTCATGACGCCGGCCGGCGTCTACGCCGAGGACATGCCGAACGGGCGCCGTTTCAAATGTGACCTAAGCATAAGTATGACGGTGAGAAATTGATATTGGTCCAATAATTCTGTGTGATTTATTTTTCTTCAGATTTCGGTACAGTTCGGTTGCAAACATCTCACTCACTGCGTATAGGATGATAAAGTGTTTTAACGAGCTGTTGTGGGCTAAGTGGCATTAATTTACACGGAATTGTCTTAGGTTTTCAGTCAGATATTCACTTACCTAACTTCTTGACGGCTTGTCCGCGGGTCTTGTTGATGAGGGCGTCGGCTCGCCGGCCCAGCTTGCCCGCCCGGCGGCTCTTCGGGTTGGAGCGGGTTTTGTGCAGCTTGACGCCGATGAGGAGGTACAGCCCGGCCAGCAGACACATCGGCACCACGAAGAACACCACGGTGGCCACGGCTGTGAAGTACTGCACCTGCTCCTGGTACTGCAGCGGGATGGTGCACTTGGCCCACACCGACTCTCCGGACGGCAGCCGGAACGACACCTCCTGGATCCACAGGGACACCGGCAGGGAGAAGGCGATGGACAGCAGCCACACGGCCACGATGGCGGTCATGGTCCGCTCTTTGGTGACCAGGGTCTTGGCTTGGAGCGGGTGGCAGATGGCGATGTAGCGCTCGATGCTGAGGGTACAGATGGACATGACCGTGGCGGAGTAGCAGAGCTCGTTCATGAAGACGTGGCTGCGGCAGACGGTGTCGCCCAGGACCCAGGACTTCTGGAACAGCTGCTCCGTCATGTCCACCGGCAGGTTGATGACGAGCATCAGCAGGTCTGAGAAGGCGAGGCTGAGCAGGTAGAAGTTGGTGGGGTTGCGGAGAGAGGGGACTGTGGTGAAGATGATCATAGTCAGGACGTTTCCCATGATACCAGTCATGAACGTGATGACGTACACGATTGTCAGCGGGATCTGGATGGAGAGAGGAGCAGACTCTGGGCCAAAAAGGTCCTCCAGGCTCCAGGTGAAGTTCTCCGTCGTATTAGGCATTAGGCGAAACGTTCGGCCGAACTGCTCGCTATACACGTCCATACCGTAGCCTACAGGCCGTTACCGGCACAGGTAGTGATGGTAACATTTGTGGTTCACGGGACGTCTTTGCGTCTCGTCATATCATCCACGGTCTGTAAGCGTTGATGCCTCCTCTGCCTTTTCCTACCTGCATCTTGTTTTTTTTACATGACTTTTGCTTGCAAATAGATATCCTCTCCCTATCGTTATCACATGTTACCTGTCTCGGTGTCTTCGTCTCCGCTGCTCTGTAAACTCCTGGAGTGTCAGTCAGTCTGCTTCTCGGGCGGATGCAGCGAGTCGAGTTGGACGTTTGATGATTTCCGTGGCGTCTCCCGATCCAGTTGCAACAGGTGATGACGCAAGTATCCTGTGTGAGCGAATCATCACCGTCCACGTGCCTGGATAGAAAATCTGAATAACAAATGGTTTTCAAGGACTCTTACGTGTGTTCGGTGTTGAAGTCGACTTGGGATTGGTTCTTTGTCACCTGGCCTTAAAGCGCGCGATTTCGGCGTTTTCCAGACGGAGTGTTGACGAGAAATGATTGCGGACGTCCCCAGCATGTAATGCGCCGGTTATTGTGTCCTTACTCGGCGCCGTACACGAAGGGCCGTCTGGCGACACAGATGTCTCCGGTGGGCCGACAATTGCTTTCATCCGATCGTCCCAGAAAGACAGGGCACTCCCTCATGACATTAGCAAAGTAGGAATGAATTAAAAGGATCGTTTGATAAAGGAATAAGCTAATTTGTTAGGTCGACATCCTGTTTTGATTTTCGCGGTGGGAAATAAATAATCTCTATGGAGAAGTGACATCAAAAACGATGTAAAGAAAGAAGGCTTGATTGTAAGAAAACAGCTTTACGTGCACGTAGACCACAGGTTCTGTCAATCACAGGCCGCACGCCGCGGAACGTGAGGGAAATTTGTTGTTCACTCAACGTTCCCTCACGAGTGGAGAGGCAAGCGAACATTGCATTTTTAACTCAGGAAGATCATCATGCTGAGAGGATCATCACATGTTTTCACGCTTGAGCGGCTCTTGTTTGACGATGATTGCAGGTCACAGTTGCATGCCACTACCGGTTCCTTTCAGCGTTTCTGACTCGGGATTGTTATACTATTATTATATGATGATATTTCATAGATGACAGGAGTACAAGGCTAAAACTATCATTAAAAGGGCTGATATTTTGATTTGGATGCAATATGGTGTCGTTGAACTAGCTTTTATTTTCATTATTTGAATATCTTAAACATGTACACTTGGAGAAACAAAATTATTTCAGTGGTAGCTTACGAACCTCTACACGGGTGCCGTTAGAGTAATCTCTGCTACATACATAAGATGATGAGCCCCACGCGGTTAACTGACTATTGGTTGCGTAGATCGCCTCACCCATGCTTTCCCGCACGAGTTCTCGATAGAGAATGGATGGCGAACACAATTTATGAACGATAAAGAAGGGAAGGGAATTGAAGATGAAGGCGAGCAAAACCCGAATCACTTCCATTTCTGTGTCGTTGAGGTCGAGTGCGTAAAAAATTTCCCGCATTTATTCTCATGCAGTCTCTGTCGTTTTAACGTCTATAGGACGTCAACAATCAAATGCAAGTTTACCCAGCCCAGGCTACTGTTTGCTACTGCCGTACGCGTATACGGATGTTTTATTTTCGGCGTGTTTGTCTGTTTGCTTGTGTGCCCGTGGTTAGTCAAATACAGTAGAGCGGCAGGACGTCAGGGAAAATGGGGCAACCACAGACTGACAGGAAGGTCAAAATGGAGGTAAAAAAAATATACCAGGTTGGGAGGAAGTGAATGGTACAAAGGTCAACCATTACATCATTTCTCAGTTTTCAGTTTCCTGCCATGGCATTTTGGAAACAAGTTGGGAAATCTATGTTATTGCATCGAGTAATTCACCAAAATGATTGATGAAAGCATGGAATTCACAACAACTCACGGAGGTGTAGAAGTTGCAATTTCTCGTTTAGCATGCAATCCTCCGCATCATTGTTCAGGCTCCCGCCTTTCCGACAGAATAGGTAAATGTTGAAGGCATGATAGGATAATATTAAAAACGCCCACATTAGGAAACTAACATTAGAGGAGAAGAGAAAAACGCATGTATCACGTTTACGTTTTATCTGTATCGTCCCAATCGAACCAGCCCCAGTAGCGAACATGCATGTAATATGAGAGGAGAAACGTCCGAATTGATTCATCATTTGTAAAAGCGCCTCACGTCCATTCATGCCGGCTGGAAAATAAGAAAAGTCTGATTACTTTGTGTTGCGTTCTTTGATTTGCCCTTCTCTCCCGGGCCCGGAGCAGCCTCAAAAGACGTTTACAATGATTACGATGAAGATGAAAGAAGTCGCCTGAGGAAAAATGCATCGTCTTTTGCCCCTTCTGCTAAAATCGCAGAGCATTTGCATATCATACAGCATCTCAAGTGTATCCCATTAGTTCCCCCTCCCCAAGAATGGCGCGTTTTATCACTTTTCCTGCCCAAAAACGTGATAAGGAAAATATGAAAAAAGAAAATAATCAAAGTGTAACCAAAGACTAGAAAGGCCGACATTTGCGTTGGATCAGATGCAGCATGGCTTCACCACATTTTACGACATGGCAGGGAAAGAAGGAGAATACAAGGGAAAACAATGCTTTACATTGATATAACTATAGTATAAAGTGACATATAACTAAGAATACAACAGTTGGATAACTATCACATAGTGTGGTGAAGCCATAAAAATCGTAAGAATAAAATGAAAAATATGCCCCAGGTGGGAGTCTACAGCGGGGGATACTCAACAACTATGGGGGTGGGGAGTTTAGCAACAATTACAGTTGATCTATTACGAGAGCAGAACAGTTTCGACTGTCAAGAGGGAATAAAGAAAGTTTGATTTTTTTCCTTCACCCTTCTCTCCTAGGGTCAGTGAATACACCGTAAGAGCAGCGTCTTCTCTATTGATTGATTTGGCTTTCCAATAACGAGTCAAGGTCGGCTCACGATCATAGAAGACGTCAACTACAGAAGGAAACTTCGCCATTTCCTCCATCCAACCCTCCTGCTGATGTTAACACTATTAACGGGCACTCCGTATTGATTTATTTTAAGTACCTTCCAACCATTCATAGTATAAACGCATCAAAAAGCATACTTATTATTTTATTTTTTCTTTCATGTAAAGCTTTGTCATGTCCTCCCGGGCGCTGAGAAGCAATCACAGTGTATCTGTTATAAGAGCAGCATCGCCTCTATTGATTCACTTACCAGGACTTTAAGCCGTTTATGCCAAGTGCCAAGTCTTATCAAGTTTTATCGAGGAGAGCATTTCGTTTCTGCTCACTACAGCAGATTCAACATAGAAGCTCTGTCTGTGTATTGATTACCTTAAGCAGGTTTACGACCATCCATGGCTGGTGCACCGTAATGAAACTCCTGTAAAATGTTTCCCCCGCACCTGCCCACGCCTCCTCAAGACCTCACGTAACCGCTGCAGCCCTCTTGTAATAAACGCATTGCCTGCCTTACTGGACATGAAAGTTCTGCGTATCCATTCATAGTCAGCACACCACGAAAGAAGTCTACTTAAGATGAGCGCCTTGGATCCTCAGGAATAACAACACTGAGCCGACAGATGTACGTTACGCGACTCGCCTACAAAAGAACCCGATTTTGAGCACATGTTTGTCGAAAGTTTAATCATGAATAGAGAGGACAAGGTAAAGATGACAATGTTCACACGTGAAGATATCAGCCTATAATGTTACATATGTATCTAGCGCAAGTAATAGGCTATCGGTAATTATCACACATCACGCCGCCGGAAACAACTTCAGAGCCTAGATGAGACAAGTCATTCAGATCGATATAGATAGCCGCAGATGTGTGTGTAATTTAATTCTAGTATATAGTCACGGCAATCACAAATGACCTTCATAGAGGCGAATCAAATCATGAGTGAGCTTGTAGTTGAAGTGGCAATTAATCTGCCAGTATAAGATTCAAACTTGGGTGGTACGTTAAGACAGAGCTCCTTTCCCGTTTGTTGCTGATCATGACATGGAACAGGTTCAAGCTATAACATCCATCATGGCAGCCCGTATGAGTGATGTCCTCCTCAAACGGGCAGGACCAGGCCTGGTGGTTCAGCGCATTAAAGTTATCTAGCTGTTACAAAGTTTGCCTTCTTTGTCCTTCAGTGTTAACCGTAAGGAAGATTGGGTTCATTTGACTGTACGTACTTTGTTTGGCAGCTCGTTGAACCCCATGTGGTCTCGTGCGTCAAAGGTAACAGGTTTACTCTGCTAACGCAGCTAACGCACCGTCTGGATTGATTGAAGAAGCAGGAGGCCAGGCCAGGGCAGCGGCTGACGACCCAGCAACATGGGTCAGATGAGAAACAAAATACCATCCAAACTGATCAGTACTGTCATGAGTTACAAGTAACGCATGTCTGTAATCTCTGCATAGTATGATCTGACAGCAGATAACAAATACAATATCATGTTTGCATATGTTTAAGAATATCTTTCTACAAGCATAACCGTTCGAACTTGTAGTGAACATATGGTATCTTTCCAGACAACTTTAACAACATGTTGATTGGTTTTGGAATGTTCGACAGTTCATTTCGTCGTGTTGTCATGCTGAAGGAGCCATATCTTATGCAGGACATGCCTTGTAGACCAGGATGGATATAGGCAATTAACCTGAAAGTAAAAGTATTAATATTTATGCTCTTTAACCCAACGTTTACTGTCATGTATGCATACTGTCTATAGAAGTGAGTTGAAGACTTGGTATTGTAGTCACAATTATTCATCATCTGAACAGAATATTCCTACTGGTTAAATTGTTGAATTTTTTCTTTTTTTCTTTTAGATACCATTGCCTGCAACTGCAAAGCATGCAGTGATTCGATAAGAGTAACAGACATAGCCATTGCGCACACTTATCGGAAAGAGCAGGGGTGGCTCAGTGTGTTTGGCTATAACAGCGAACCGTAGCAAAGCCGCATTGCACTAATAGTCTCCAGCATT